TGAGGAAAGGCTGAGGGAGCTGCGCTTGTTCAGCCTGGAGAAGAGCAGGCTGAGAGGGGACCTTATAAATGCTTATAAATATCTGAAGGGTGGGTGTCAGGAGGATGGGGCCAGGCTCTTTTCAGTGGTGCCCAGCGACAGGACAAGGGGCAATGGGCACAAACTGAAGTGTAGGAAGTTCCGCCTGAACATGAGGAAGAATTTCTTCCCTCTGAGGGTGACAGAGCACTGGAGCAGGCTGCCCAGGGAGGTTGAGGATTCTCCTTCTCTGGAGATATTCAAGACCCGCCTGGACGCGGTCCTGTGCAGCCTGCTGTAGGTGACCCTGCTTTGGCAGGAGGGTTGGACTCCTCAGAGGTCCCTTCCAATCCCTGCCATTCTCTGATTCTGTGACTCTGCTCAGCGTGGCTGCCAGCAGTGCGAGGGTAACAACTGTTGCTCGTGAGGAAAGCAGTGAGCTTCTGTGGCAGGCTCACAAAAAGGAGAAATGCTGCTTGCATGCCAAATGGCTTTGCATTTTGTGCTTCTGTTTGAGGTTTTTTTTGGCTTCTGAGTGCAAAGGGACTAGTGAGGTTGCTGAGAATTGAAAAAGCCTTTGTGCAAGTGAGGGGTGCCTAAGACAAAACAAAGTAGGTACAGCTGAGTTTCTTGGAGGTCAGGGTGCCAGTAGCCCTCCCACTGCAGACTTCAGAATTTAGAAAGTGGCTTAGGTTGGCTCACAGTTCCTGCTGGATGGAGAGTCTGACTGAAGCGTCACTAAGAGGTCACTGAAAAATAAAGTACAACCTTAGCTAAGCAGAGACCAGAGGCAGTCAGTTCCTGACTGATAAAGAAGGAATTTCTGCTAGCAAATGTTTACCTTAATTTTCACAATTTTTTATTTATAGAAAGGTAATTAGTGTAGATCATAGAATGTCTTGGGTTGGAAGGGACCTTAAAGATTATCTAGTTCCAACCCCTCTGCCATGGGCCTGGACACCTTCCACCAGACCAGGTTGCTCAAAGCCCCATCCAACCTGGCCTTGAACACTGCCAGGGAGGGGGCATCCACAGCTTCTCTGGGCAACCTGTGCCAGTGCCTCACCACCCTCATGGTGAAGAATTTCTTCCGAATATCTAATCTAAATCTACCCTCTTTCCATTTAAAGCCACTACCCCTTGTTGCATGCCCTTGTACAAAGTCCCTGTCCAGCTTGTAGGCCTCTTTAGGTACTGGAAGGCGGCAATAAGGTTTGCCCAGAGCCGCCTTCTCTCCAGGCTGAACAGGCCCAAGTCTCTTAGCCTTTTTTGTGGCCCTCCTCTGGACCACTCCAATGTATGCAATATAAGATAAAAACTTCAATATTCCTTATAAACAACTGTAATATTTGTCACATTTTCCCCTTCCATCTATCAGCCTGTTGATCACAACAGGGATATGAAATATGCCTCTGCAGGACTTTCAGATACCTTTCTGGGAAGGTTTTGAAATACTTGTATACTGATGTTTGCATTTACTTACAAAGGTCATAGGGCCAAACTGGCTGGAAATTGATCATTGCGTTTTGTGGGATTAGTTTTCTGGTGTTTGACTGCCTGAACTGGCTCAGTACAGCATCAGATGACTCCCAATGTTGGCATGAAGGAAATGCCAGGAGCACATGGCTGGGCCCGCTAAAAGCAAGGCTGCCCTTTGACAGTAGTTGGCTGTTTTATTTGGTTGTAATGTCAGCCCACACCCTCAATTGCTGACATTAGTAAGTAAAAAAAAATAGTAATCTTGGGCAAATTGCCACGCTAACTGACTTTTTGTAAACCAAGCTCATTCATTTTTATCCATCCTCCAGTACAGCTGGAGTATCTTAATCTCCAGATTAAAGATCAGTCAGTTAAGTCACTTCTGTATTTACAGGTTAAGATGGCAATGATATTACAAAAATCTTATCAAAGACTTTTCCTCACCCATTAAGCTTGTTGTAGTCCAATATATTAAAACACCACAAGGCTGTTTACCTGAACAGTTAAAACATTCTACTTTCTGTGTGCACCATTTTCCTGTACATTACACCAAACAGCATTTACAAACAAATCTGAGGGTGGCCCAGTGTGATTCTACTCATACCTTTTTAAATACAAGAAAATACTCATACGGTCATTATGCTTGTTCGAATGGTAGCAGGATACCATTTCTTATAAATATTATATAAAGATAATTGTGTAGACTATAAAAACTTCCAAACGTCATATAAAAAACTAATACTTGTTTGTAGGCTTAGATTTTTCCCTTTACCAGCCTATTGACCATGATAAGGACATGAAGTATTATTCCTTTACAGGACTTTAAAATAGCTTTTTTGGTGATGTTCTGATATCTGCTTTTATACAGATACCTGTGTTTGATTGTTTCCATGTCTTCATCTTATGTTTGTGGTCATTCACGTAAAGAATACTGTGTGAAAATAAAACACATTTTGTTGACTGCATCTGTTATAAAGGGTTTCTTTTCAGGATGAATTTCAGATGTGGGCATGCGCCTCAGAGGTTTTGCACAGATCATGAAGTAAATATAGGCCAGAATTTTTGAGTGTGATGGTGAACAGACGTCTGTTGAAGAAAAGAGATGAGAACAAGCACAGAATGAGAAAGTAAAAATGCATCTTCTACTATAGTAGTATGTTGAAAAGCTTCCAAGGTTATGATTTATGTGCTCTTGTAAACTTTTTTATTAATATTTCATCTGACAAAGTACTTTTGTGAGAGAAACAGCTAAACCAGTGTATTTAAACCAGCATGTGTCCAGGCTGCTATTGAAAGAGAAGCACCTACTTTTCAGGCCTAAGCACTTGTTCCTCACGCTCGTGCTGTTACTGAAGTGGCTGTGCAGTGAGCTGCGTGAGTGAACTTACCTGGCTCCCCCCAGAAGTTTATTTTTAATGAGTTCATTTTCTAGCATGCTGTGGGCAGCACAGGGAGGGCGTAGGACAGAGTTAGATCCAATTAAACATGGCAGGAAGCCAAACCTAACTCAGCAAACTGGGAAAAAGATTATTTTTTCAGCAGCATGCGTTCCCTGATACGATTTACAGCTCAGGTACATGAGTGAGTGAATTAGCACAAGGGAGACAGCAAGTATGAGCAGCTGGGAACAAGAATGGTGGGACTAACCATGTTAGTGACAGGCCAGATTTATGTCAGATTAAAATAACTATGCAGCTGTTCCTTAAGAAGAACACACACAGAGAAACGAGGTCAGAAAAGCACACAGTGTACAAAAGCTGCTGGAAAAGCAGCTACACAACCAGAAAACACCCATTTTTCTGAGGATCTCATGCGCGCGGTTTCCTGGCTGTGGAATTTACTACATGTTCACATTTGCTTGGCAGAAGCATGAACTGGGAGATGTCAGGATTATGTTTAAGTATTTTACATTGCAAAGCTGGCATTCAGAAGCGGAGCGGAATGTGACAGCAGTGCCTGGCATCAACATCCTGGCAGCAAGCTGACAGACGTGAGCGTGGCAGGTACATGGATTTTCCCTCACTTGCATTCAAGCAGCTGGTTGTCATCCTGAACCCCAATACTGAAAATTTAAAATCTAACATTGTTAATTGTTTCCTTACTTGTATTTTAGCAGAAATAGTTCTGTGACACCTCATGCTTCCACTAAATTGCCAACTCTCTTAGCATAAATCATCCCTTGCTGTAATGTTACAGCTTGGTAGAAATTGGTACCAGAAATTAGGAAGGGTATGATACATGATGGTTTTAGGTTGAAACATAAATAAGTTCTGATCGCATGGACATAATAAAATCCTGTAAGTTTTTTTAAAGGAAATTAGTAATGTGCTGTTGCAATTTTAGTTGGACAGAATGTGCATCTCTCTATTATATATTACTGTGCAGATTGCTGAGCCTCACCTGATAAACAAGTGGCAGAACTCCTTTGATTTGGGAGCTGAAGTGAGTCTCCTGGAGACTGACTTGTCTCTGCTAGAGCAGAATGTTGGGGTGAGAGTGGCAGAGCACTAGAGCAGGTCACTCGGAGAGGCTGTGGAACCTCCGTCCTTGGCAAGGCTGAAAACCCGGCTGGACACAGCCCTGAGGGACCATTCGTCTTCAAGCTGAGAAAGGATGACAAAGCTTGTGAGATCACGGAGCCTTGGATCTAAGTCCTTTGACAGTGCTACAGAAATATGAACACATGTGGATGGTTTTTATTTCTTGTGGAGATAGCAGGTGTAGCTGAAGTTGCCTAATAGCTTCTAATTACTTGGATTTAGTTTTTCCAAGTTTACTAAACTAAACCATGAATACTAATCTCATAAATTTCTAGCATGTCATCTTTGTGCATGAGCTTTTTGGGGTAATTTCAGCAAAGCCAGTTCAGTTATTTCTGGGAGATACATTGGGGAAATACAATTTGGGTTTGGGAACAAAAAAGCCTTTCAGGAGTAAAAAGATGCTCAGTGGTCAAAGGATGAAAATCTATTCAAGTTAGTGTCAGTAAGTCCTTGTGCCATTTGTGCACAGAGCTTTTTAAAGGCTTGCTGTTACTACCTGAGTATTTCACCTCGTGGCATATTCCAGTCCCTTCAGCTTAAATTTACCCGCTTTTCCTTGAGATACTGTCAGTTAGAACTGGGAGATAGTTTTGCCTTACAGCTGAGAAATCAGGGCTATCTGCCCTTGTCACA